TCGTACTTCACGCTGTCTCGAATGCGGGTGTTGCGAGAGCCACTGTTGTTGACGTGGTTGCCGATGCGTAATCAGAGTAGATAGAGAGTTGTTCTGTTGTTGAATAGAACCAGTAACTAGTTGTTCATGCACGGCCAGATTGGAACCATCTATATTATACCCCGGCGTTCGTTGTTCGTTTGTCAATTGCGAAATAGAATATGTTGGCAGACCACCGAAGGTAAACACATCAGTAGGTAATTGTGAAAAACCGAGCGACGATTGGTCTTGTCGAGACTGTGGTCCTGCTGGCAATAAATACTGATTTGAGACATCAATGTATTCCTGCTGCGTTGGTAACGTGTGGTGGTGCTGTTGATGCTGCTGTTGTTCTTGTTGTTGGTAGTTCCATGGCTGACTCTGCCAGGTTTGAAAAGGTTGTTGCGACATTGTAGGTTAGGTTAACTGTTACATTAACTGGACCTATGTACAGTCTACCTCTTTTAATCCCCCCACCCTTTAATATCCCAACCTCAGATACCTCACTTGTATCCCCTTCGGATATAACCGAGGTATGATATTAATATGGTAATTTGGGACGGCAAAATATTGGGGGATCCCTATTTTACTGTTACTATATACGGTACTAACATTACACAAATCATATCCCTAGTTTACTATATATGATACTAATATTACACAAACTGTCATATAATTTCTATTATTACGTTCTGTACAAAGTTTGTTAAAAACGTTAAGAATCTTATTAGTAACCGTGTTGAAAAGCAATCAGGTCATAAACACACCACTTTCAGCAAACCAGATGACGTTTAAGCCAAAAAATAAATCCTTATCGATTAATCATTAAAATCAATTTTAGTATGGATAGTTCCGCAAACATCAGAAAAAGAAAACAAAGAATAAATTTATCACTTGAAGATAAAATAAACATCATTAAGATAAAAGGAACCGACCTACGACTAAGTGATGAAAAATTGGTAAACGAATTTGGTGTATGGATCATTCGACAGTAAGTAACATTCTTCGAAAAAAGAAAAGCTCTTACAATTGCATGCAAACGCAAAATGTTCAAATTTGAAGAAAGCGCGTATTCGTGTAGTGAAATTTTCTTTTTCGAAGAGGCACTATACAAATGGTTCCAAGGTTTACGCAGTAAGTAGGGAAGTTTCCGTTTCCCAAACATATTAAAAGCCAAGGCAATCGCCGAATTTTATAATAGGGCGAAAGAAAATGGAGTACAACTTGAGGCATTAAATGGATGGTTGGAGAAGTTTCAAAAACGGTATAATATTAGTAGCAAGTGCATATCAGGTGAAAGTGAATTAGCACTCCTTAATCAAGTAGACGTTTACAAGATATATTAACAACATTTAACCTGAAAAATGTTTACAACGCGGATTTTTCTTTCAATTAGGTCCAAACAGAACTCTTGCAACAAGAAACGATATAAAGCAAAAGGCATAAAGAAAGACAAAGAACGTGTTACAGTTCTAGTTTGTTGCAATACAACGGGTACGAAGAAACTTAAACTCTTTGTAATAGGCAAATTTAAAAATCCTCATTGTTTTAAAAATGTCAACTTAGCTACGCTGCTTGTCCAATACTCCAACAATAGAAACGCTTGGATGACCATGGAAAAATAGAATAAATGATTGAAGTGGTTGGACAATAACGTATCTCAGAAATTGTTGAGAAGATTTTGCAAACTAAACATGAATTTGTTCTGTACCAACCTTTTTCGCTGTTGCACATTCAATTTCATCCATATGCTTGGATGTATCAGTTGAGCTAAGTTTTCAGTTGAGCTAAGTTTCCAATTAGATCTCTGAAGAGGAACATAAGGTATGGTGACTAAATCTGCTTATTATAATTGTCCTTCGCATACGGATGGTTTTTCGCTCAATCTAAAAAACCTATGCGTAGAATATATTCCCAAATACTACATCGCACATACAACCTTGCGGTGCAGGAATTATTCGTAATTTTAAAGCACACTATCGAAATCTTTTGGTGTCTAAATGGGTTTACGAATTACGTGGGGGTGCTGAAAAGTTTTGTCGCCGGGGTCATATGTCAATGATCAGCTGACCGATCCAAAAATGGAGGTAA